CCGGGGCCTCCTCGCTCCCCAAACCGCAGCGTCTGACGCCCGTCCCCCAGCCAATCCACGGCCACCGCTTTGAGATGCCGTCTCGGCGGCTTTTAGTGCGCAATGCGGCGCTTTCCGGCGCGGTCGGCGGCACCGCGCCACATTAGCCCTGTTCGGGAGCGCGCCGCGCCGCATTAGGTCCGATGACGCGCCGGATTTCGCCGCAAACACATTATGATTGTTCGACTCTCGGGTGGGACTTTCGCCGTGATTGCCTGCTGGCCGGCCGTCGCTCCGTTTCATGTCGCCAGCTCCGTCCGTCCGGGACGGAAAACACGGCACCGGACGCGGCGACGGCCGGCCGGCTGACCCGCGGCCACCGGGCTACGGCGCCGGACGCGGCGACGGCCGGCCGGCTGACCCGCGGCCACCGGACTACGGCACCGGACGCGGCGACAGCCGGCCGGCTGACCCGCGGCCACCGGGCTACGGCACCGGACGCGGCGACAGCCGGGCGGCTGACCCGCGGCCCCCGGGCCACCGGGTGCGTCTCCTGCTCAGGCAGCGGTGCTGAGCGCTGTGCACGGCTGTGCCCGGCGCGCCTGGCCGTCTGTCTGGCTGAGTGTCCAGTCGGGAACGGATACGTCTGGCCGTGTGCAGCTGGGTCTGACTGGCTGTCCACCGGGGCCTGACTGCCGGACTGCCGGGAGACAGCGTTCAGCCGTGTCCGCCCGCGTCCGACGGCGTCATGCTCGCCGCCAGGGCCGGGCCGTGTTCGGTGACGCGCCGGCGGCGGTCCGCCCCGGTCCCGGCCGGGCCGCGCGCGGGGGACACTGCGGCCGGCGACAGCCGGGCGCCGCCAGCCGGACCGATGCACGGCTCTTTGTCTGGGCCGGCCTTGCACGCCGACAGCTCGCGCCTCCACCGGGCCGGCCCGCGGGCCAGGAATGCCGATCCATTTTAGCCGGGCTCACTGGGAAACGAATTTATCGACTCCACTCGGCTGCATTGGCTCGATGGCTTCTGCTCTAGCTAGGGTGAACGCCCCGTTCAATGCAGCCCACGCGGAGACCATTTCTGGCGTAGATCGGAACAAAAGGCCTCTATTTTGTGGGCTCGCTGTCTGGAAGGAGGCATGGCACGCGTGACCAGACAGTTGGACAATGCAGCGCCCGTCGTCAAAGTACTAGGATTGCGGTCTGGTAATGAGCCAGACATGGTCTCAACGTCTGTCCCTCCATTTGATGACATTGTCACACCAGATGGCACATTTCCAATGCGCCGAATTTCCCCGCAACAACGAATGCCACAATGCATGCTTGGCGACAATTGACGCGATCCATTGTTGCTGCCCAAATAATGCGCCCTGTGTCTGCGTTTATTGTCTGTTTTTGCGCGGCTTTTTCTTCCTCTGGACTGGCTGGGACCAAAATAATGGCCAAGGAAAACCAAGATAGCCATCGCTGCGGCCGGAAGCGAGGGCAATAATTAATGAAACGGCCAACAGGATCGAGCTGTGGCCGTCTATCGGCCCATCAGCTGTTGGCGCGGCCGATGGGAGCGGGCCCGATTTTGCCGCCGATCGCGTCGGCGCTGCTGTTGACTTAGCCCGCCGTCGAGACTGCTTCGTCTTCGCTCGAGATCGGGCTGGATAAGAGCCGCCGTCAGACGGCGCGGCTGGCGGCCCGTGTATCGACGGAGGACTGCTGGCGGCCTGTGCAAAGACTGAGGACGGCTGGCGGCCCGTGTACCAACGGAGGACGGTTGGCGGCCCGTGTACCAACGGAGGACGGCTGGCGGCCCGTGTATCGACGGAGGACGACTGGCGACCCGTGTACTGATGGAGGACGGCTGGCGGCCCGTGTATCAACGGAGGACGGTTGGCGGCCCGTGTACCGACGGAGGACGGCTGGCGGCTCGTGTACTGACGGAGGACGGCTGGTGGCCTGTGCAAAGACGGAGGACGGGTAGTAGCCCGTGTACCAACGGAGGACAGCGCGATGTAACGGAAGAGGTATAACATTGTGGAAAAAGAAATATATGACAAACGGATGATGTGACTGATGAATGCGTGACGAATAAACATAGCCGTGGCGGAGGACTGATGTAATTGATGAGAACGCATGTAATGAGCGACCAAGAACTGCTGTGACGACTTAGGAAGGGTCTGCAGGACTCCTGCCACAGATGCCCCCCCCCCCCCCCCTATGACAGTCGAGGACTGCCGTGACGGACGAGGATTGATGTGACGGACCGGGCGGAGTCTTGCCACATGAGATCGCTGTAACGGACCACTGTCACAGGAGAAGACACTTATGACAGAAGACTGCTATGAGACATGCGTAACGCGGTGAAGCATGAAGAATGCCGCCATGAGAGCCTTCGTCGCTAGTATCGCTTCTCGCTCGTCACAGCAGCCCTCTGTGACAAATCCTTACCCGTCGCAGCAGCCTTCGTCCGTCACAGCGGTCACCGGTTACGAGCGTCCTCCACCGCAACGGCGGTCACCGGTCACAAGCGTCCTCCACCGTAACGGCGGTCACCGGTCACAAGAGTCCTCCTCCGTAACGGCGGTCACCGGTCACAAGCGTCCTCCTCAGTAACGGCGGTCACCGGTCACAAGCGTCCTCCTCCGTAACGGCGGTCACCGGTCACAAGCGTCCTCCTCCGTAACGGCGGTCACCGGTCACAAGCGTCCTCCTCCGTAACGGCGGTCACCGGTCACAAGCGTCCTCCACCGTAACGGCGGTCACCGGTCACAAGCGTCCTCCACCGCAGCGGCGGTCACCGGTCACAAGCGTCCTCCACCGCAACGGCGGTCACCGGTCGCAAGCGTCCTCCACCGCAACGGCGGTCACCGGTCACAAGCGTCCTCCACCGCAACGGCGGTCACCGGTCACAAGCGTCCTCCACCGTGACGGCGATCATCGGTCACAAACGTCCTCCTCCGTCATAGCATTCCTCAAGCCGGCCCCATGTGCTAATCGCAGCGGAAAAGAGGTGCGACACATTTATCAGCCGCCCAATTAGGGGGGGAGCCACCAAGGAGTGATGTGGGAAGTCGGCCTCCCTCCCCTCCTCACAGATCTGAGCCCGGCGGGAGGCGCGCCGCGATGCCAGCTCCAATTCGGAAACATCAACATCACTGGGCCGTCTCCCCCGCGAGTCGCCAGACAGCGGGCGGAGAGAGAAGTCGTCCGCAGAATCGTCCACTCCGGCGCCGACCGCGCGCCGCTGCCACGAAAACAACCCTCCCGGTCCAATCAGTTTTATCGCTGCCAGATCACCAGGGGTCAGCCGGCTGCCAAATCCCCGCGCGACTTCTGTCCCGATCGCTTAAGCTGTTTGTTTTCCGGTACTCCCGTTTCCATTTACTTTTCTAAACAATGTCGGGGCGCTGAGCGGGCCGCCCGCTTGATCGACGGCGCCCGTTCTTCTGCTCGAGTGGTCCTCTCCCCCGTCCGCCAACACGGCAGACGGGGGGCGGGTAATCCCGGCCGGCTGGTGCCGGCTGACCCGTGCCACTGGTGGCCGGCGGACGGGCCGGGCAGCGGCCGGCTCCACGCCCGGCTCCGGCCGCGGATCAGACATGTCCCCGGCTCGGAATGCTCGGGCGCGCCAAAAATATGGCGCGCCGGCGTCTGAGCGGCGCCTCAGCCCACCGTGTGTTGGCCGGGCTGTACCACGTGCCGACCGGGCCCACCACGCCGCGCCGGCTTTCCGACAATCGGATTACTGCCGGCGCCGGCGCCGCGATGACTTATGGGAAAATAATGTCCCCTGCAATTAATAACGGATTTCATTAAGGTCATGATTGGGTCGTTACTGGCGCGGGCGCGGGGCCCGCGGTCCACGCACCATTAGCGGGGTCCCGCCGCGCGCCCGATGGTATCGGGCCGGACCGGGCCACGCCGGGCCGCGCGAGCCCGCCTCGTGATCGCCGCATGGGGCGCCCATCCCGCCGCCGCCGCTCGTTACGCTGTGATTTACGGCGCGGCGCGTGTATCGGCAAAATCGGCGCGCGCCACTGTCTCGGCGCCGCCATTAACCCCGCTGAGTGTGGCGCCCCTGGATGAATCCTGCCGAGCGTGGCGTCCCTGGTTTAACCCCGCCGAGTGCACCACCCCTGCGTTAACCCCGCTGAGTGTGGCACCCCTGGATTAACCTGGTTGCGTGTGGCTCCTCGGCAAACCTAAACCCTGCTGATTTTGGATCACAGCTTTGGCTGAAGAGGCCCTCAGGGACCACCGTTCCTTGGCCTGCGGAAGAAGGCCGGGAAGCAGACAGTACGAAGTAGACAATTCTTCTGCCAACCTCGCTGCTAAACTGCCCGTGGGCCGCCGGGCGTGGCACTCGTCGGTGTCGCCCGCTTTCCTGACATGCTGCCGGCGCACCTCCGCTTCACCCCCGCCGTCCACGCTGTGCCTCGTCAGCTGGCGCCGGTGCCGACACGACACAAAAAGCCCCGGGGCTGTGCCAGGCACGCGCCCGCCGCCCGAGTTGTGTCACGAGGTGACGCCACAGGGCCGCCGGCGCACCGGAGACGCGCACTTTTTGGTCGGCTTCTTGCCGGCGCGCGATTGCAGCCAGACGGCGAGAGCCGAACAATGCGCTCCTGCGAGTCTTTTGTTCCCAGCCGTGTCCCCCGCTTTTTTAGATCTGGGGAAGGTCGTCGGTTCCGTTTAAGAGGACGCTCAATCCCATGCCGCTGGGCGACGTGAGCCGCGCCGGGGAGGCTGCCGTCCGGGATGTAACTCGTTCTGTCGTAGATGCCATCGGATTTGGCGCTACCTGGCGACGTTATCAAATGTCGAGTCAAGACAACCGTGTTAAAAATGCAAACGCCTTTGAAGCACCGTGGGTCCACGGACGTCGCCCACTAAAAACGTACTCTATCGGGTGAGGCGTCTTGCACGATCCTCCGGGACCGTTGTTGTTTTCTCTCACGACCTGTGTGAGGGATGAGGGAGGGCCCTCTCCACGCTCACGACACTGACGAGAGCCGCTCTCCTCCGACGCAGGTGAACCGGCCGATCACCATGAAGAAGGACGGCATCCAGACGCGGAACCGCAAGCTGTCGTCCAAGTCGAAGAAGAAGAAGGGCTTCACGGGCTTCGAGAGCATGATGCGGCCGCTGGACAAGGCCGGCTTCGGCTTCCCCGGCTCCAACTTCGGCGCCGGCATGTCACCCTACATGGCCTACCAGAACAACATGCAGTCGATGGGGCCGGGCGGCTTCGTCTCGCCGCAGATGGGCATGGGCGGCATGGGCGCCCTCGGCATGGGCAACCTGGCCATCTCGTCCGCACCCGGCGCCATGGTGAGTGGCGGGCCGCGGGCAGGGACGCTATGCAGAGGCGTGTACGGGGCTGCACCCGACCGCAGCATGCTGCAATGCTGTAGGTGACGAGCGCTGGGGAATGCGCTGGCTTTGCGGCTGGGTACCGGCCCGCCTGCGTCAGCTGTCCAAGTAGGAAATGTGTTTTCTTTAGTTTCCCGGAAAATTGACTATATTTGAAAGGTTACCTCACGATCTGTCTAACATCAAATTTTTCCTGCTCAAATTGACGTTGAATGGAGGCTTAGTGACAATGCCCACCTAATCATGCTTATCTCTAACAACCAATAATTTGCGCAGATTTGAGTCGTGAGCTTGTTCCGAACAAAAGCCCATCCACCTTGGTGTCGTGAAGATTGACGATGGCGGCTGGCTTGCTCCCGTTTCTAAACTAAATGCTTTTCCATGTTTTGTGATTGTGAACATTCTGCAGCAGGTGGAGAAAACATGTATAAATGCTTATTGTTCCGCCGCTAATGGCCAAGGGCGTAAAATCCTGTCCGCGTCTGGTTGTTATGGATAAAAGTACGATTAATCCATCAATCTCACAAAAATCAGTCCGGGCATAATTTTTACGTCTCGTGAGTGATTAATTAACCACCGTCAAACATTGCTCTGCAGGGCCGCCATTAAAGCTGCCCATTCATTTCTTTCGCCCCACAAAAATGCGCCACAATCGCTGCATAGCGCCTGGCCGAGGGCGTGATCACGATTTCGTATCGCGACCAAACCGGTCGGACGCTCATTCGACTGTCCGGGACGTTTCAGGGCTGGCGAACCGATTACAGTTGATACGACTGCACGGGGCGACAGCAGTGTACAAACTGGCCGGAGGGCGGCGGCGGCGGCGGCGGCGGCGGCGCCGCGACGCTGACCGCAGCGACCGGCCGCGTCGCGCACGACACAGGGTTTGAGGCGGCTGGTGCGTCCGTGTTGGATGGCTCCGTGTAAGAAGGCGACGCGCCCGACCGCCGGTGTCGCTATACGAGTCTAAGTCTTTCAACGTGGACTCCATACGCCGCCGGCATCCGCACGGTGGCGCCCTCGGCCGCGGCCGGCACGGATCAAGAGGTCAAGGTCGCTCGCGCCCCGGGGGCACTGGCGCCGCCGGCTCTCGAGCTAGGCAGGCCCGGGGTAGGCGCCGAATATTCGATGTGATATCCGTGTACTTCGCCAACCTTCGTGTAAATACCTAATGATCTCTTCGTAGCTGTACGCGCTAAAATACTTATAGTCTCGACCTAACAGCGTTGCACTTGACCCAAACGAGGTCAGTACCTATGATTAATATGGACGTAGATTAAGTGTTAACAAGGCGCGTGCTGCTCACTGCTTGGAAGGATTTGTATTTTGTGACGATAGTCTACGTTGACTGTGTCCGCGTGGTGCCTCGCCGAGAACACATCTCTTGCGTTATTTTGAACCGGTCAGCACACTACTCACCAGGCCTGCACTATGCCCCCGCGTGGGTCTGCACCCATGGGTGGAAGCCGTTCAGTCTAGCGGATAACGCGCGTTGCATTGGCCCGTCATTTTGTATCCACGATGGTGGCTAATGTCGAAGGAACACCGCTTAGTTCAGTCAGTCGCGAAGTCAACCCAGCGCGGCGATGCATGGTCGTCGCGCCGCCGACCGCGGCCGGCGGCGCGCCACACTCTAGTTTTGTAACGCCTGTTGGGGAGCCGTGCCAACCGAGCCAGGCGCCGCACCGCGGCGGGGCCCCGTCACATCACGCGGAACTGTGCAATCATGTAAATAAGTGTCCCCCATTGTGTGTCGTTCGATGCCAAATAAACCACAAACACCCAGCAGCTCCGTAACCGTGCGGTCCGTCGCAGCCATCCGGCGGAAGGTTGTCGCCGCGGCGCTTGCGAGAGCAGATTCGAGGGCAGATTGATTCTCCACGCCGTGGCGCGTCAGAGGCTTTTCCGCAAACCGTCGCAGGCTCTTGGACCATAAGCAAGTGGCTGATTCTAGATTGTGCCAGAACAGGGGCCTTGACGTGATTTTGAATTTGACAGATGAAGTTGAGCGATCGTCCTTGCACGTGCGTCAGGTGGACACAGTCACGCTGCGTTTTTCTGTAGTTTGCAGCGATACAAAATACCGAAGACTGTTTTACACAGCCTTGCTGACCGCAGCTATGCCAACTTAGACAGAATTCATGTCCTGTGGCCGTGCGCCCGCGCTAACTACCTCGTATTGTTGTTGCAAAAGGCAAAAAAGAAACGCAAAGCAGTCGTCAGCATCAATCTTAGACGTGATTTATAGAAAAATCAGCGTGGAATCGTGCTTGTCTGATCGTGACAGTGCATGGAAGGCAAAAACATGACTTAACAGCTGTGAGTGCATACTAAATGAAGAACTGAACGGGGCACACGGAATCACGAATAGGCATTGCAAATTTACCCCAAAAATGTACAACCCTCAGTTACCGCCCTCAATCATAGACGTGATTTATAAAAAAGCACTTGAGAGTCGTGCTCGTCAGCTCGTGACCATGGGAGGCCCGAAAAAGCACTGCAACTTTGTTTAAAAAAAGTTTGTTTCCCTCCGTAACCACCCTGAGCAACGCCTTAGTTATTCAAGCACCTTGTTCGTATAGCTCAACCTCAACGCACAGTGTGGTCAGGTTGGTCTGTTTGCGTTTAAAAAATGAAAACGCCGATGCATGCCTGGCGCATCGAAGGCTGCACGAATCAGGTCGTGCCTAAGTCGTGTTCTTTGATCACAATTTCGGTAATCCGCTCGAGAAAAGATCAACGGGGTGAGAAGAGATCAACGATAGCGAGAGATGGTGCATCCTTAACTATAACAGCATTAGGCCGCCAGGGTAGGTGGCACCTCGGCGCGCAGCCTGGCGCCGGTCCGACCGTCGCGCGGTGTCGGCAGTAGACGCGTGGGCCGGGGCCGGCGGCTGGAGGTGGTGGCCACTACCGAGTCAAGCGATGAAGATCGTGACGTGGTGCAGGAAGCTGACTGCTGGAGGCCTGGCGTCCGTCTTTGAACCTGAAGCAGGAAGGACGCACCCTGTCACGTAAGAAAATCACCGGCTTAGTCCGACCCCTCGCAGGACAGCGGAGGTGCGCCGACCACAGGGCGTCACGTGACCGGCGCTGGTGGCGCTCAGAGGGGGTCGGACCCTACCCGTGGCTATGTCTGGCAGTCCACGGTGGCGTCACCATGGGAACGCCTTAGGGCATTTACGTGTTGAAGGGCATCACAGCACGTTTTTTTAAGGATCGTTTTTGAATGCTTCTAAGTTGTTTTCCCCCATAAAAGGAGTCTCCAGACGTTTGTTAGCATGTCTGCTAACCATGCCTGGGGTTAAAACAGCTGTATCTGATCAAATATCCCAACAACAGCCCGAATACCCGTACCGTGAGCTGCATCCAATAAGGGCGACTTTTACCAGCGTTGGGATCACCACTGACACCTATCACAGAGCGTTTCGGACTTGCGGTCCAGACACTGGTTACTTCAGACCTGTGACACGTATAAACGAGCGGTCAGCTCAATGGAACGGAATTATTCGAGTGCGGAACCACTAAGAAACGGCAACGGTTGCATTCAATGCTCAGAGAGGCACTAGGATTTAGCAAGGCGGATTGGCCGGAAGGGCAGATCCAGTTTTATTTCGCATGATGGCGGCAATACGAATGCCAGAATCACTTTTGAGCATATGCATGAGCTCGGCATTAAGACTTACCAACAAAGTTAAGGGTGCCAACGACATTTATAGACACCCCTCCGTGCACCGTCATAGCCATACCCAACCTTGATTTGTTTGCAATCTTGGTCGGTGCAGTAGGCCCCCAAATTCGTAGCACTAAGGCTACAACCGCGCAAACTCTCAAATGCAGGTAAAAACGATAGCGATGGCCGGGCTTCTGCAAGTCATTCTCGTAGAGAATTAGTGTACTACAGGCTAATATGTGTGGGTTTTCAGCAGGGGCAACAGGGATCCTCCAATAGAGGTGCAACCCTCTAACTCCCACCTACCTACCCCCTCTGTCCCATGCCCCTGGCTCTCATAATCCCAGAAATAAGGAAAATTGGAATAAAGGATTGAGAATTTGCAGGTCGCTTGTAATGTTGACCCTAGTACTGCGGGACTTTGTGGCCTTACCTGGGACCTGAGGACCTTAACTGGGACCTGTGTACCAGATCTGTTTCGTTTGTGTTCCTTACCAAGAAAAGATCGGACGAAAGCAATACACCTTCCGCTACTATGCGTTTTTTAACGCGCTGTGCACAGCACATTTAGAGTGTAATCCAAATATTGCACAACCCACATCTTAAGTGGAATTTCACTGGCTAAATGTATCAAAAATTGTTAGTTGCACGCTTGCCGAGACATTGCGACATGTCTCAGGTTGGCATATGGGATCGCTCTGCGAGTGCCAGTTTTAGATCTAGTGCGTTTTGGTATAATCTGCCGCCCAACCTGCTGTCATAAGGCGTCGGTGTCGCTGCACGGTCAGGGTTCGGTCGGGAGTCGCGGGACAAACGCCTCCACCCACCATGACAGTCGCAGCTGAACAGACGCGTCGACAGCAGAGGAGTGACTTGGAAAGGTTGTGCGCGTGGTGACAAGTATGAGAGGAGTATCAGTTTGCAATGAAATACGAACTCAGGCTAGTCTGTAGATTGTACGATATGTTTATTACGCTCTAAATGTGCCATGCACAGCGCGTTCAAAAACGCATAGTAGCGGAAGGTGTATTGCTTCCGTCCGATCCTTTCTCGGTAAGGAACGCAAGCGAAACAGATCTGGTGCACACGCTCATCACAAACATGCTACATTGTAGTATGCATTCACTTATGATTCAAAGCATCAAATACCAAGTTTTGTTGCAATGGTAGTGCTTGGTTGGTTTGGTTTTCGATGGTTTTCGAAATACGAAAAGAGCGTTGACAGTTTCGTAAAATCAAGGTCTCTGAACCTGCACTGGGGCGCTGGGAATGAGCCATGACGTTGGCTTTAAGCAGCGCTGTTCAAAATAGAGCGAACTGCTCATGTATTAAAATCACGTGCAAGACAATGCTCCAACATTAAACATTTCTGGTCAAAGGCTAACGCTGACCGCCCTCACTGCTCTCCCCCCCCCCCCCTCCGGAACGCTTCCGCAGCACTGGCTTTCTTAACCTTGAGCCCGGCAAAGTGGGCCGTGCCGGCGGGGCTCAGGGCCGGCGTTGGCGGCAGCTTTGGCCGCAGTTCAGACTGCGAATCAGCCAACGCCTGCGTCCGGCGGCTCAGCGCCGGCGGCGGCTTTGGCTGCAGTTTTGGGAGGGGATCCTCGGCAGCCGACGTCGCGTGATGCCACATTTTTTCCGAAGAATGGGTTTCTTCAGACCAATGCCGCCGCCTGGCTTAGCATGTAAATCGGCTTGAAAAAGCGCACACATTTTCTTCATCTGAAACCTGTCAGCTACTAGTCTTGTATTTTCCTGAGCTGAATTGCTAAGGATAGGCACTTGGTTTATCGGCAGACAAATATCAAAATCATCAGAATAACCGCCGTGGATTTGCTACGATTGTGGTTAGACCTCAACGATTCATTCAGCTCCACCTATGGGGGATTTGTATTTGCTTTATGGCCTTTGCTGCTTAGGTGCTATAACGATGATACATTGCCAACCAGTGATCATATCTTTATCCGCGAACGCAACATGTAATAGAACCGCCTGCAATAAAAACAAAGCGGTATCAAGCATCCAATACTGTTGGCTGATTGGCCGGAGCGCGTTAAATGTCGCGCGACTTAAACTGTGCTCCCGGTTACAACGTGACCTTTCAAAACTCGTGGATGAGTCTTGGCAAGCAGTTGAATGCCGTTGGGATGTCAGATTCCAATGAAAATCCAACGGTGAATGTCCCTGGCCCGGAAGAGCAACGACGGTGGAATTTCGCTGATCTACCGGAGCGCGTGTGAGCCCCGAGGAAGGGGAACCGGGCTACCCAGGCCGCAATGCTGTTTGTAAGGCACACGTAAGCGTCACGTGGCCCGGTTGGGAATGCAGCTGCTTTCTAAAGTCTACCTTGGAAATCGTACAAAAAGGCTAAAATCTGCAAAAATGTGTTGCTAAACGCTACAAGGACCTATGAGCGGCCGAGGCAGTGCGAGTTTGCATTAGCTGATATTGAATCAAGACTGGTTATTGCTGACGAGTCGTGACATGGCAATGTTCCGGATTAAGGGAAGTGTGGCAGGCATGTGTTCTTTGCTGTGATAATCATTCTTGTAGCCATATCTGCTGACCGTAATCTCTAGCGAATGCACTCATTAGGTTCGGAAATACTATATTGGTAAGAACGAACTGAACACATAATAATTTAAAATTAATAGATTCTAAGGCTAGGGTAAAACCAGCTTGGTCTGGGAATATTTTGTCGTCAATCTTTCACCTCTTTAATGGAAAACAGTCTACAAATAAGAATAGAGATTTGATGGTTACTGGAGGCTTCAGTGTCACCGGCGAGCAAGCCTGCTTCCTTCTTATGACACCGCTGCGTACCCCTCCATGCCGATTTACATGATAGACGCCCACACAAACGAATTCACATCTGCAGGCGATTAGGAGCCGGGGCTGTCGAGCTAGGCCTTTGACCCCAGGCCGCGCTCCAATCCATAACAGAGCAGCAGCCGGGCCCTGACCCGCCCTCCGCTCCCAATCCATAACAGTGCGGCCACCCGCCACCCACATAAGCGCTGTTTTCAAACGGACAAGACGGCATGATGCGGCTCCTCGGGCGAGGACAATGGCGCTGGCCCACCCCCCGCCGGACGCCTATTAAAAGTCGTGG